CCAGTGAAATATATTTATGTTTGTGGTTGTAATGTGACAAAATATGGAAAAGTTCAAGGGGTATGAATACTTTTGCAAACCACTGTAAATATGACGGGGCCAGACCAAACGAGGCGCTTCACACCCCGCACCCCCTCCAGCTTCCAGAGCGGTTCATTCCAGTTTGATGGAAAGGTTTGCGGCTATGTAGCGGCGCAAAAACTTGTTTTTTCAAATTAATTAAAAGACGTGAACAGTGGAAGACTTGTTCATCCAGACTTACATGTCGGAACCAGAGTCTGACTCAGAGCCAGAGGAGAAGATGATGAAATTTTAGTTGGTAAGTTCAGACCTTATTTAGAAGTTCACAAAAAACTGGAACATAATAGTTCAGATAACATCAAGAAAAGAGACAACTGAACAGGTTGAAACAAACCAAATGTATAAATATATTTGCTGCAATGGGAGAAACTAAATAAAAAATCTCTTCACTTCTGCAGGTACAAAACTAAATGTATTTATTGGATGAAAAAAAGAGGATTTTGTATGATATGTTCCCTTTAAACTGTTTATTTTTTCTCATCACTACCAGTGTTTTTTTAAAACAGGTTTTAAAAAGCCAATTTAATCCTTTGAAACTTTAGCCTGCATCATATCTGACTGCTGTTTGACCTGTGTTTAAAATGGGTACAGTTTGACTGTTAAAGCTGTTTAAAGTTTGCAGTGTTTGTTTCTCTGATTACGTGTGCACAGAAGTATTTAATGTTATCAAGGTTTTGTGACACCTGTTAATATCAGTGTTACACAGATGGCAGATTCTATCAGATTCAGTTGGTGTCCTGACTGAGGGGACGGACAGCAGATGAGAGTGGGGGGAGAGAGAGAGAGTAAGAGAGAGAGAGAGAGATTGTTGATGAGCTGCTCAGAGCCAGGCAGAACTCAACTCAATTTGTTTAATGAAATTAAGGCTGGTTGAACGGCTCAAAGCCAGCGGGTGGCAGAGGGAGGACAGCACTCACCTCCGGACTGCAGCTCTGAAACAACAACTTGATCTGAGTGTTGTCGCTCTGCCTCACACCTGCTGCCGCCAGGACTTTAAACTGAACGTAAACTGCAAGAGCTGACTCTGGATCATCTCAGAACCTGGTTYAGTTCTAGAGTTCAGGTGGGCTCAGAGGGCGAGCCATGCAGCAGCAGACGAAAGAGGAAGGGGTCCCTCATAAAAAAGAAGGGGACGAGGAAGCCCCCATGTCAGCTTCCTGCGCAGCTTTGGACTCTCCTCCCTCTGAGGTTTCAGGAGGTCCAGCTGCACTGACCCAGACCACCCTGACCCCTGACCCCTGCAGGAGGTGCAGGTGTTTGTGTCAGCCGTGGTGTCTGCTCCTGGYGCTCACCCTGCTCCTGCTTTCTCTCCTCGGCAGCTGGGCGGTGGTCCAACTCACCCTGGGGACCCACGGGGGGTCGCCGTTCCGGGTGTCAGCCAGCTACGACCAGCGGATCCCGCAGGATGACGCCGCCACCATCGAGCCTCACTTCACCACAAACTGCACCATGGGTAAGTGATGCTTTGTTTTCTGTGTGYGAGAGGCAGCGCTGTGGTGAGAAATCAGAAATAAATTACTCTGAATTCTTAAAACTGTTGTGTTTCTGAAGATTAGAACACGTTTTTACCTTTAAAAAATCACAAGACGTTGCTTTTTTCTGTGTTTTTTAAGCCTAGTGTGGAAAAAGACTGATCATAATTCACATTTTTGTCACATTTTAAGTAATTTTAGGAATCAAAGAAATAAAAAAAAATCTAAAATATATCAGACGACAACAGTTGGGATATTTTAATGGTGCAGTTTATCTCCTTGTTTTGTGTTTGTGTGTGTGTGTTTGACTTAATGCGTCTCACATGTCTGCAGAATATCAGCTCGAACTCGTCTGGAAACTGCACAGCCACTCTGTGATTTTTAACGTCATTACTCCACGTTGTGGAATGAAATGCGTAAACCAGTCGAGCCTGAGATAATATCCTCCTCTGTCAACCTCAAAAATCTCCCKAAATCGAATTAATAAAACTGATTCRATTTCCTCTGAACAAGACCGAGAGGTTCAGCAAGTCTCACTCAAACATGTAATGTGTTCGTTTCGGGGAATCTATATAAATACAGTCTTTGTTTCCTACAAGAAACGGATATTTAACAAGCGCAGTACTGTATGTATCCTATTTCACAGTTTTGTTGCATTACAGGGATATTTAGTTGCAGAAGGTTTGTTTTTAAGCAGTTTAAAAAGCAAATTGTTTATGAGTTCTTAGATTTGTTTCTTGCAATTGGGATTAAAATAATTTTCAACTTTTAGAATGATGCTGCGTTACAAGCAAAATCCAGACTCTTCTGATGAAATCTCTTTTTATTTAGTTATGAATCACCCACTGCCCGTTCCACTGTGGCCACAATAACAAAGTGCCACAGTTTATTTTATTTATTATGTTTACCAGCTTAAACCTGCTTAAACATTTCAGGATCTGCTGTCCATTTCAGCTGATTGCATCCAGGAGGTCTGAGAAACCTGAAAGAGGAGAACAGAATATATCAGACACATTAAAAAATGCTCTCTGCTCAATTTGTAAACATTTAAAAAACAATTATATGTTTTGTATTCATTTAAAATCAAAAAGAAAACTAAAAGAAGCAGCAAATAAGCAAAGAAATTGTCAGTTTGTTCATCCTGACCACCTCTAAACTTACAAACAGACCCACGATCTTGTTTGCTTTACAGACTTTTCCTCCTCTGTGATATTTATAAGCTCGTCATGTTTCACCTTCACGGTAAAAGCAGTCAGAATGAGCCTTTTCATGTTATATATTTGCTCATTTAGTGATATTTCTAAGCCCCTCTTTTATTTTTTCATGCAGTATTTTTTTGTGTCAACATCTGCCCCTGAAACCACCGAGTGTGTGTCCTTCCCTGCACAGTACAGCCGGTCAGACTCTCTTTTCAGCAGACCCTTACAGTGGTGCCCCCACCTTCAGCCCTCCTGTAGAAACGCTGAACGACACCCAGCAGATGTTCACTCCTGCTATGCTGTGTCTTGACATTAACAGTTATCTTTAACTGCCATTTTTGTGACATTTTAGACAGCTGCGGGCTGCCTCATTATAGCCTTTCTTATAAGCTGCTCCCAAATATCATATTTTTAGATTCTGACTCCTTTTCAAAGAGAAGAACAAAAAGTCTGAAACCTAATTTCTCATAATTCTTGACACATCAGTGGAGTTAAAGTTCTGTCTGAAAAGACAAGTGTTTATTTTTGTGTAGCATTTTCAAGCTTCATGGAAACATCATTATGCAAAAATTAGCTCGATATTTAGCTCTAAATTATTGAGAAACATCCTTTAAAGAAGCCTTTAAATCCTTTTTCACATTTATCTGGGGTCTATATGGACTTTAGTTGTAAATCCAGACCTTATTTGGCAGTTATGTCACAAATAGTTTGACATCATAGTTTGGAAAAAGTCATAGAAAACTGARAGGGTTAAAAATTAGGACCCAAACATAATATGATGCAGCACTGGAAGAGACTGAATTTTAATTTTCTGCACTCCCAGAGACTCTAAGTGCACAACAAAATGTTTKWA